CCATTACGGTTAAGCTCGGCATTAACAATACATTATTAAAAATTCTTTTTGTTCTTTAGATCTTTATTGACTGGCTCCTTTCTCTGGATCAGAATTATATGCACATAAAAAACAAAGCAGATATATCTTAAAATGACTTTATTGTATACTTAAGCTCCTATATTATAAAAGCCTACATTAACTAGTCAATTTTTGCTTTTTTAACTAAAACTTTAAATTTAAGTTCTGTTCTACAGTGGGAGTTATCTTTATTTTATTTTAAAAAATGCAGCAAAATATAAAAAAAAACAACGATAAAACGAAACAACAACGATAAAACGATAACGATAAAACGAAAATGTCAACATTCTTTGGAATAATGTTAACGCCTGCAAACGAGTTTATATATGTTTTTACTTTACCTATTGTTATTAAACCGATCCCAAACAAAAAGAAATTAATAAATATTTATAAATATATATAATAGTCATAGGTATATAATAGGTTATAACACCTGCAGTTTTATCAGATTTTCGTTTAAACTCATACTAACCAAATGTTGTGTTATATTTTAATTTTTTACTGTAAAATTCATATTTTGATTCGAATAATAGACTAAACCATTCTTTACTCAACTTGATGGAATTTCGTTCACACAAACATATTGTATTTTGACTATACAAACCAAAATATACTGGTCCACACTATAGTTTCAAAATTACAATAAGACTTTGATTGTATATTTAAAACATATATAATAATATTATATATGTGTCAATAACACATATATAATAATATTATATATGTGTCATAATAATATTATACTAGCTGAATTGACCCGTAAAAATACGGGTCTTTGTAAGTCTATTCCACACAAACCTTTTGCCTTATTTTCTTAATCTAGCTGTCCGTATCGGTAAATACAGGTCTTTTCTTCTACTTATATATTTATCAATTCCATGCCAATCATTTCTTTACTTGTTCTTTATTTACTTCAATATTTTTTAGTAAACAGTGGAAAAAAATTCATTAAAAAAATTTGCTTTAAGAGCAAAAAAAAACTTTAACATACGCACTTTTTCCGCATGCGTATATAGCTTGTTAAACCTCGTTTATTTTTTTTTATTTTTTTAAATTCTGAACTAAACTACTTCCTACTTTTAGACCAGCCATGGACCATGGTTTATGGTCGGGTCCTAGCCATATTCAATAGTTTACTATATTTATTATTATTACATGCTTAGTTTTGAATAATAACGGTCTTTTATAGTTATCTTTGTATTAGACGGAAACGGTAATGCAATTCTTTAAAACGTTAGTCGCTTAAAGCGTCAAAAGTCATGCAAAAAAATAAACTATAAATTTTGTGGTTTAAAAGTTGAAAAACTAATTATAACAAAAAATTTGGTAATTTTTAAACGTTATTAAAAAGCTCTTACTTATGGTATTTTTTTTGTTTTCATTTTACATTTTTAAAAAAATGTTGAAGCACCTAACTACATGCATAACTATGATAGCTCACAAGTTAAGTGCGCAGTCATCAGAGTTGCTGTGCAAGGCTTCAAATCCGCGCCTAAAAAATTTCAATACATTTTTTTTAATTTTTTTAATCTGGCTATATTTATAGCAAAAAATTAAATATAACAAAAAACCTTTTAATTGCTTTTTTTTTCCTTGCCTCCACTGCAATACCATGTGGAGTAGCAGAACGGTTTTATCAAATTTTTTCCTTATTAGGTTTCTTGACCTTATTTTTGAAGACTATCCGTAGCTTATTAGGACCAATTATGCGAGAACAGTATCAAAGGCGTGACACGCACGCAAAAACTTTCCGCCACGTTTATTGGTGTTTTAAGAAATCCAAAAAATTTATAAAATTAAATAAAAAAAAAACGGTTAAAGTGTATAACATTTAACTTGTTTAACTTCACAATTATTTTGTAATTTAAAGAAAAAATCGCTGGCGGTAAATTTGAACCACGACTATTACGTTCAGAGGCTTAGCGCGCTAACCACGCGGCCATGCTGACACATCAAATATTGAAGTTTTAAAAATATATAAAAATTGTTTTTAACGGAAATGCTGTAGATCAAAAAATTAAGAGAGGTTGACGCAATGCAATTTTTAAGTCAAAGTCAAAGTATAAAACTTGAAATATGTTTCAGTATGTTTTATGATTACTTAATTACGTACGTTAGATATTTGCAAACACGTTTTCTTCTAAAAAAAGTGTTGCGACTCTTTCTACTAACACTACTATTAAGTTTGTCATTATTATATAGAAGATAGATAGATTATAAAATAGTTTTTCATTTAAAAGGACAAACTCTATTCCACATTAACCTCATCTTTATTTCTCACTCTAATATTTTTTAGTGAACAATAGATTATGTGCTAGAAAAAAAAATTCACATATGCACCTTTTCCGTTTATTTATATTTAGAGCTTAACATGAAGAAGGTAAATCATTTAGTTCAAGACAACCTGCTCAAACCCAAATCCTCTGTTGATTTATGCACACTCACTGTCGCTAGGCGTGTAAAATAAGTAGCTAGGCAAGTCAAATAAATTAACTTGGTCTGTTTTTCTGCATAAAACAAAAACAGAAAATGTGAAGTACTTGATATAAGGATATGGAATATTGGATTCAGTTAATTCAATACAAAGTGATAGGAAACTGCAAAATAAGGTAACAACTTGAAAATTATTCAAATACTAATTTACAACAATTTGTATTGCGTTTTATTAAAATAGCTATATTAAATGGTATGAAGATTAATGATTCTTCTTCTTCACCTTTAGAAAATGATTAACGATTTAAAATACTTTTAAATTGATTGTAAAAGCATTATCTAAAAATGAAATAAAATCATTATTAATAACACTAAACGCACATTTATTTGTTTTATGTTAATTCATTTGAAAAATGAAAAATACGAAACGAAATTTAGTAATATTAAATAAATATTAGACACTTACTTTGTGAGAGTGCTTTCGTAAAAGTCTCTTATATTTGGTTGGAAGGCTGGAAATACTTTTTTTTAAAAAAAATTCAGTTTTATCAGCATTGCTAAAAATAAAAATTCTTACTGACACAAAAAAATTAGGCTTTTTCTTAAAATGTTTTTTGGCTTTTAGTGAATGATTAGGAGTAAAATTCAGTAATGAAGCTACCCAATAAACATTTTTAACATTAGACACCAACGTGAAGGTAAGCCAAGCTCTCTATTAACACAAAACATCACAACAATATTACAGGATGACAAACAATAACACTAGTAGTGTAGGCAGGATTTTTGTTGTTTCAGATATATAGAATTTTTTTTTGTTTAGAATTTGCTGTTTTAGATATATAGAACATATAGTGTAGGCAGGATTTTTTGTTGTTTCAGATATATTTGGAAGCTGTTGAAGAGTTTAACTTTGTTATGACTAAAAAAATTCAGGTTAGGAAAAACACTTTTTTTAAGCATTTGTTCCTAAGCTTTAACAACATCAATTTTTTGCAAAGTATTTTAATTCTATAAACGTGAATATACTTAAGTTTCGTTGAAAGTGCTATCTGAAGCATCAAAAGACCCTGCCTATGCTACTGAATACACATAGCATAAAATATTTGTACATAACACATTTGCACATAACACAAAAATTTCAGATTCTGTGTTTTCAGAATAATTAAAAAAGCTAGACAACACAACCTAGCTAAACACTTGTAACACCGCCTGGCACTAAACGCTGCCAAGTTACACCACAATTTAGTAACACCGCTTGGCATTAAGTGCCAAGTAACACCACTAATTAGTAACACCGCTTGGCTAGCAAGAATCACAATCTTGCACTACACGTTGCCAAGTAACACCAATTTTCACATGGAAACAACTTAATATAAAGTTATATAAACTTAAGCACATAAATATAAATAAAGATTTATAAATAAATACCTTATTAATTTTTTGCTATACTAATCTAAAATGAACAAAAACAATAAAGTGCTATTTATCAGTTTAAACCTATTAAACTATGTGTATAGCGTCTAATAAAATTTGTGAACAGAAGATATAACTAAACTAGTTTGAAACAGAGAAAAGGCCGGAAGTATCTTGTAATAAAATACTATATTGTAAGTAATAAAACAGTGTTTTTTGAAACAAATAAACAATTTTATTATTTTAAAAGTCATACTAATGGTAATATTAAAAAGCAAAATTAGTTACAAATTTTTAAATATACATGCCAACAATTGCAAACATGTTGCATTATATAGACCACATGTGGCTGACAACTGATTTTAAATACTATTTTATAATATATCTAAAGAGAATAATGTAAAGAGATTAATAGGTGTATAGTGCATATATTAGACATATTAAACAGATATCATAGAAAAAGAAAAACTTTTAACATATTTACCAAATCTTTCAAAAACTATATAACACTTAACAAATAAAAGTTAATACAAAAAAAAAAATTAGTATTATTAAAATTAAAAATGAGGATAAAAAGATGTAAAAACGTAAATTAATAAAAAAACTTATAGACAAATTATTAAAAACTTTTATAACATAAGAGTTCTTTGTAAGTTTAGGATTTAAAAACGGAATTAAAAATCAAAAAAGTAAAATAGTAAAAGTAAATAAATTAAAATAATAAAAAAGTGCGAAATTAAAAAAAACATTTTTTAAAAAAGTCAATTTTCTTTATAGATAAAAAAGAAGATAATTCTACCAGTAGTTTAAAAAAGTTACTGGTAGAAATTAAAAGAGTTAAACCGCTTTCCAGCACCCCTCCTCCTACCAGTGGTGTCATATGGGGCTTGTCTCCTCCATCTGAAGGAGGGATCATCTCCCCCATATTGACTCCACCGGTAGAAAGCTCTTTGAGATATCGGACCTGGGTGCTGGGAGCGATATCACAGGAAATCTTGATGCGATGTTAAAAAACAAAAACAAAAAATTTGAATACAATACTGCACAAAAAACCAATAAAAATATTATTTAAAACTATTTAGACTTCAAAAAAAAAAAGTTATGACAAAAAAAGTAAATAAATAAAGTAATGTAAAAATAAGGAAATGCAATGTTTAAATTTCATATATACCTACACAAATACACATAACACCCACAAAACTGCATAAGTATGCAAAACAGAATACCTGATGGTCCTGCAGATATTGTTGCTTTATGGAAATAAGTAAAAAAGTATATGAACTAACACATAAATAAAACAGTTATGTAATTGCATACAAACATGAAAATAATAATGTTTAGGTTTCAATACACATAACACTGCATAAGTACGGAAAAACTGCATAAGTATGGAAAACATATTACCTGGTGGTACTGCAGTTGATACTGTTGCTATTGCGGAAATAAATAAAAAAGTATATAAACAAACACATATATTAAACAGTTATGTATTTGCATACAAACACGAAAAAAGAAATGTTTAAGTTCCAATACACATAACACATAACACATAAAGCTGCATAAGCATGCAAAACACATTACCTGATGGTACTGCAGATGATACTAATGCTATTGTGAAACTAAAAAATAAAAAAAGTGTATCAAGTAACATATGTTAAACATTTATCTAATTGATAACAAACATGAAAAAAGTAATGTTTAATTTCAATACACATAAAACCCATAAAACTGCATAAGTATGCAAAACACATTACCTGATGGCACTGCAGATAATATTGATGCTATTGTGAAAGTAGAAAAAAAAAAGTGTATAAAGTATCATATGTTAAACATTTATGAAATTGCATGAAAACATGAAAAAAAAAAATTTAAGTTTCAATACACATAAAACTCATAAAACTGAATAAGTATGCTAAACAGATTACCTGATATTATTGCTTGAGGTGTTAATGTATAGACAAAAAAATAAATAAATAAAGTGATGTGCAAAATAAGATATGCAATCTTTAAGTTTTACATTAAATTGCATCATTACCTGATGGTACTGCAGATGATATTGATGCTACTGTGAAAGTAAAAAAAAAAAAAGTGTATTAAGTAACATATTTTAAACATTTATGTAATTGATAATAAACATGAAAAAAGTAATGTTTAATTTCAATACACATAACACTCATAAAACTGCATAAGTATGCAAAACATATTACCTGATGGTACTGCAGATGATATTGAAGCTGTTGTGAAAGTAAAAAAAAAAAAAGTGTATAAAGTAACATATGTTATACATTTATGTAATTGTTTACAAACATGAAAAAAGTAATGTTTAAGTTCAATACACATAAAACCCATAAAACTGCATAAGTATGCAAAACACATTACCTGAAGGTACTGCAGATGATATTGATGCTATTGTGAAAGTAAAAAAAAAAAAAGTGTATAAAGTAACATATGTTAAACATTTATGTAATTGCATGAAAACAGTAATGATTAAGTTTAAATACACATAAAACCCATAAAACTGCATAAGTATGCTAAACAGATTACCTGATATTATTGCTTGAGGTGCTAATGTAGAGACAAAAAAATAAATAAATAAAGTAATCTGTAAATTCAGATATGCTATCTTTAAGTTTTAACACACATAACACAAAACTGCATTAGAATGCAAAACACATTACCTGATGGTACTGCAGATGACGCTATAGTGGAGGTAAAAAATATATTTACATAAACTAACATATACTAATCAATTAAACAGTTTATTTTAGAGTGATAAAACCGCAGACAAACATCAAAAAAAGTGTGTTAAAATTAAACAAAAAGAAACATAAGTGTACTTTGCATTAGGAAAAAAACTAACATGCAGAATATTTGTCAACTTTAGGAAATCTATAAATAAAGTTGGAACAAAACAAAAGGCAAAAATAGCAATCAAAAAACAAAACAAACCAAAAAATAAAAAAACTTCTAAAAAAATAAAAAATAATAATAAAGAAACAATCCACAAGAACAATATAGTAACTTACTAACTTGTTGAAATATAAGCCCTATAAAAAAAAAAGATAAAAATTGTATCAAAAGCTAAAAGACCATAGAATACACCTTTTTTTTTGAAAGTAAAATGCTATATCTTTATCTATAATACACAAATGTAATATAATCAAATTCTGTTTACCCATTGAATGTTCTAATTTTTCTAAATAAAATGAAAAACTTATAAACATTAAAATAAACTAACTTGCCAAATATAGAATAACTTTATGTTAAATAAATATGTAATAAAAAAAATAAAGAGCATGACAACAACAATAACAAATTGCTTACTTAGGTTCTTAACAGAATCTTCTAATTTTTCTAAATAAAATAAATTTAAAAGTTACAAAAGTCACTTGCTGACTGACAAACTGTCACAACTGACAAAAGTCAGTTGCTAATTAAGGGAAAGCGGAATAGTATCGAAAATTAACTGATCGAAAAAATGATTAGTATCGAAAAATAACTGACCGAAACTCATTTTAATGATTAAGATCGAAAATGTGATTTTCAGATTAATATCGAAAAGTTTTTAAATCGAAATTCACAAATTTGGAACAATATCGAAAACAATAAAAACGGAATAAGATCGAAAACTCATTTAACTGATTAACATCGAAAATGTGATTTTCTGATTAATGTCAAAAACAATAAAATCAGAATAAGATCGAAAACTCATTTTAATGATTAAGATCGAAAACGTGATTTTCCGATTAATGTCGAAAACAATAAAAACAGAATAAGATCGAAAACTCATTTTAATGATTAACATTAAAAATAAGATTTTCTGGTTAATGTCGAAAACAATAAAAGCGGAATAAGATCGAAAATTCTTAATTGTCAAAAATTCTTTTTAAAGATTAACATCAAAAATATGATTTTATGATCACACTTTTATTTTATAAAAAACTAGTACTAGGCGCAAATCTTAAGAAATTTTTAATACTAAGTCACTTTTCAAAAAGAAACTTATTTAAGAGTTCGATGAATATTTCCTAACTTTTCACCCTAATAGCGCATCAGCTTAACAAAATTAGCATTACCTACAATGGAGAACAGCAGTTTAAATAAACAGGTAATTTGCACGCGCAATAAACAGTTTAATTTGCACGTGCAATAAAATTCTGTTCAAATTAAAACGTAAAATTTAAGAAACTTTTAAGAAACTCAAGTTCTGAACGACAAAGAGTCCCATCGATATGGAGATATTTTCTTGGGATCAGTTGCAGAACAGGATAACGTAGCATTGCTGTTTGGGCATATGCTAGTCATCAACAAGGCGAAATCGGCCAAAGTGTGTTTTGTTGATGGAACATTTAGGTATGCATTTAACTTTTTTAAAAAAATATATGTTCTACAAGAACATATATTTATCTAGGGGGCTGTCCATTAATTACATCAACAAACTTTTGGCTATTTTTACATTACCCCTTCTTCTATGTCAACAATTTGTTAAATTTCCAGAGACACTTCTTTCCCCTATAAAGTTACGTCAATTTTTGATAACCCTTCTCCCCTAAATAAAGACGCTGCGCTAAAAACGCAGGCAAATTTTTCTTTTTTTGAGTAACGAAATTAAAAAAATTAAGCAGCATTGTTGATGTCAACTTTACTTGACCTCCTCCCCTCACCCTTAGCAAAAATTTTCAAAAAATTTTAGACACCTTCTTCTTTATTTTTTAACGTTATTAATGGACAGCCCGTAGACGAAAAAAGTGATATATTAAAAACGTTAGGTAGAACACTTTTATTTACAGTTGTAAATTATAGTTACATTTACTGTACTTCCAGCATGACACCACGCATGGAGGAAAGTAAGTGGTATCAGCTCTTGATATTTTCTGTTGAGTATTCAGCAGTACTTGAAGATCCAATTCCAGATGAGGATCAGATGAATTTTGATCCTGATAACCCTCACCTTTGGGGAATATCTGTTCCAGCTGTATGCGCTTTAATGACATCAAAATCCGAGGCTCTATACAAGCTTGTTTTTTCCAAAATAAAAGAAGTTTTAGATTTCTCTCCAGTCACCATTATGTCAGATTTTGAACAAGGACTACATAATGCTTTAAAAACAACTTGGAGTGAAAGCTTGGTGAATGGTTGCAGGTATAAGTTATTACTTTGTTATTACTTAGTTTCCAGTTTCTAAGTTATCCAAGTTTTTCAGAGTTTGTTATCAATTAATGATCTTCTTTAAACCCTTATCTTTAGGTTTCATTTCGAAAATGCAATCACCAAGCAATTAGCGATTCTTGGTCTTCAGAGGGAATACCGCCACCAAATTCAAGTAAAGAAGTGGTCAAGAAAAGTTTCAGCACTTTGTCTCCTTCCTGCAAACAAGTTCTTGGTTGCTTGGGGATCTCGAGTTATTGAGATTGCACAATTTAGTCGCGAAATCAAAATGAAACTACTTGCTTTTAAAAGTATTTTGAGAGTTATTGGCTCAATGTAGTGACCCCAGAAGGATTCAGTGTTTATGGGTTAAACCACAAAACCAATAACAATGCAGAGAGCCTCAATAGACGTTTGAAATCAAACATGGGTGATCGACATAGAGGATTTTGGCAGTTTATGAAATTGCTTAACCAGCATGTAATAGCCCATACAATTCAAGAGCTTCAACAGCTTGCCTGCAATCAGCCAGTCCGCCGTGACCAACGCGACTATGGTGCAATGGAAAAAATGCGTTGTTTTGAGAAAAAACTTCGAGACGGAGTTTGGACAACTGAAAGATTCCTATCAACAGTATCATATCTCTTTCAAAACTTCAAAGTAGTGTAAGATAGTTTTCCAAGTTTTTGTATAACACTTCTTATTTATTAACCTTTATAAATTTTTTTACCAAACTAATTAGTTTAACTTTATTTGATAATCTGTTATTTTCCATGAAATATGGAAAATTGTATTTGAAGTTTTTAAATATTTTTAGTGCTTTGGATGAAAACTCAATGAACGAGGTTGGTGAGAGTCTTCCTTTGCCAACTTCTACTTCAACAGAGTCACCGAAGTGCGTTGTTTGTACCGTCAATGAACGAAATGCATTAGTAATGCCTTGCAGAAATTTTTTTGTTTTGTCAGCCCAGCATTCAACAAGTCCAAACAAGCAACACAGCTCATTGTCCCACTTGCCGAGGACCAATATCACCTATAATTGAACCTTTTCAACGATTCAGTAAAATTTTCCCTTTTACCTAAATTTTCAAAACTAGAATTTCACACAATTGTTTAAATTTATTTGAAAAAATTTATTATATAAAAGCAGTATAATTTTTTTCCTATTGCTCCGCCTGGAATAAAAAATAATCAATAACGTCATTTTTTAGTTTACATAAATGACTTTAAATTCCACTTTTTTTAACTAGGTTTTAACTTGTCTAGCTAGCTTTTAACTTTCCAATTATATAGTTTTTTTTTTTAATTTCTATATATTTTTTTCCTGACTGTAACAAGTTATGATCCCGGCCAAAAATTTTTTAGCACTCGTTTTCTTTTTCTTAGTTTTAACCTAGTTAAGAAAAAGAAAACGAGTGCTAAAAAATTTTTGGCCGGGATATAACTTGTTACAGTCAGGAAAAAAATATATAGAAATTAAAAAAAAAAACTATATAATTGGAAAGAGCTCGTCAAAAAGTATGTGAAAACCATATGCTGAAAATATTTCCTTTCCAAGATATAACACCTTATAGATTATATAAAACACAGACCTAGATTTTACAGACCAGCACACAACAGCTATAAAAAAGGATTTTTCATCCTTAATTTGCTTTATAATAAATATGCATTTTGCTTAAAGAGTTACTATTGATATAAATTTCTATTAAAAGCTAGTTTCTATTAAATATATCACGTCCTTACTGTTGGTAGGGGTGGGTAAAGAGAGGAGATAATCGTGAGCGATTGACATCTTTTTTTTGACCAAATGCTCTAAGTTTCACGTTATAAAAATTAATTAAGATTTTCTATTCTTGACCACAACTTTCTCCGAAACGACCAACCTAACCTCAAAATATTTACAATATGGGCTTGTATATTTATAGAAGGTTATTGATTGTACTTTTTATAAAAATTACAATCAATAACCTATTATACATAAAATAAATTGTTAGAAGATTAGTAAATTCAAATATTTTATTCACTAATATACTTTGATAATTTTTTTTTTGTAAAGTAAGTGATTAATAGTTCTTTTTGGAAT